ATAACTGTATCATTACGATTTTGTTTTATCCGGAGTTAATTCAGATTGGCTCAGAGTTTTATAACACTGTGTTTCCTTTAGGTGCTTCTTCCTCTAATATACCCCGAGCTGTTCCAAGGGTTGGGTGTATCCCCTCCACGAGGGCTCCTCTTGCATGGTCCACCGGGTACTGGGAAGACTCTATTGGCGAGGTTAGGTTGAGCATAATGACTGGCCTAGAGTAACTCCACTTGATAGGTGTCTGGCTGGCAGCTGTTCTCGTCTTGGTGGGGGAGCTAAAGTGAGCTTCTTCATGAGAAAGGTGGGAGCAGATGAAGCTGCATAACATTTTAGAATTCACTTCGATTCACTATAGTAGCCAGAGTATCCTGCGTTTGCATGAATATTTTTTTGTGTGTATTCCGATGACGTCTCAGTATGATTCAGAAGGATACACTCTCTGCATCATATTGGTTATTGCATTGCTGGTTTCCGTTCGGTGATCGTGATCCCTATCTCTCAGGGAGCGGACGTTTTATCGAAGTGGGTTGGCGAGGGCGAGAGGCTCCTTCGTGAGCTTTTCGACCAGGCTCGGAAGGCTCAGCCTAGCATTATATTCTTCGATGAGATTGATGGCTTAGCACCAGTCCGTATTGGTGAGGTCATCTCGTTTGCTCTGATAGCCATGTTGTAACATAGGCTGCAGTGGGGCGAATTCGTCGGATCCCGTAGCTAGTGGAGGGTCGAGTCATAGCAGCTCACTTGTCGCTACGCTGTTGGCCCTCATGGATGGTCTCGATGGGAGAGGTGAGGAGCACTCGACCAACGGCATTCAGTATATCTACTGTTGCACTAGGTGACCGCGTTGTCGTGCTGGCTGCGACCAATCGTCCAGATGCCGTTGACCCAGCGCTACGACGACCAGGACGCTTCGATAAGGAGTTGCGATTCTCCCCTCCTAGGCGAGCAGCAGTACGTTGGGTGACTGTGCTTCATTAGGATTGACATGCTTGCTCTCGCCGTATGAGTATACGAGCAAGATTGAGACTGTTGGGATTATAGCAACCCTTGAGTTACTTCGGTTTGAGGATGTGATTGTACGGTCCTTGTATATATCAGTCCTAGTGAGACTCGGTTCCAGTAGTTCCTGTTGTATCCCCCTATATCCATCTTTCGCTGCTCGGAACTCTCCTGTTGAGAAAAAGTGAATTGTATTTTTCTGTTGTATCGTTCAAGGTTCATGATAATCACGTCATTATCACAAACTTGAAATTTCACGACGTGATTGCTCCTTACTAGGATCGTCGTGCCGTATTGGAGGTCCACACTCGGAGGTGGCGGTCGGATCAGATGCCGCCGGGAACAGCAGCTTGGATCTGTGATCCTTCGAGAACAGCAGGTTTCACTGGTAAGGCGTAGTTGACATCCTTCACCAATCCGTAACCGATAAGTGGTGGGGTCCTCGTCTGCTGCACGGCTCGCGTGTGATTTTTTACACTTGTGTTTCCTCAACAATGATAGTGAATATGAATTTGTAATTAAATACGACGATGCGGCATTGGTACCATCGTAGGTGCAGACTTGAAGGCTCTGACCGAAGAGGCTGTGATGATGGCGGTCAGAAGGACGTATCCCCAAATATACGAGGAAGCTATCAAACAGACCTCAGGAGACTTGAACGGCGCAAAGCGAAGTGAGTCTTGAATGGTTTGCTGATGGGCTAAGCTTTGGCGGGATTTTCTCTGTGGTATAAAAAATATCTCGGTATAATAATAAAAGTTCTGATTGGAAGTGATAATGAAAGATATTTTGCTTGAGCACAATATCTGCTTCTTGCCGGTTTTGCATGGAGCTAACTGGAGTATGCCGTTCGCACCTGGCGTATTTCTGGTATGGCAAAGCTCGCGAAGATCAGCATTTTTCCTCATTCCAGGGTCAACCCTTCGTCAGAAGTTGATGGTCTCGGCGTCCAATGTGATTGTTACACCACTCGACTTCACCGCAGCTTTGAAGAAGATAGTTCCCAGCACTAGAAGGAGGTCCCAACATGCCACCATTGCTGGCAATGGCGCGAGTGAGCCTCTGAATTTGCGACTCTTGTATTTCTTTTATATTTCAAGACTATACGCAACCATCTTTATCTAGGCGAGTGATCCAAATCATTATAGAGTGGTCTCCCGGATTGTTAGAATACAGAGAGTTCAAGCCAACATATTACTATTGCCTGGTTCTCTCAGGTTTGGCGGTGGCGTCCCCGCTCACTTCAAAACTTTTTTCATCTCAAATCGTTCGTCTTTGCGCGACGATTCTCCGAGCTCTTGGCCAGGAGGAAAGCAATGAAGATGTCAACTCAGTTGGTGTCGAGGTCTCTGCCGAGTCGCCACGGAAGGTAGGACAAAGAGGTCCAAGATGTTAGTCAACATGCTCGAGCCAAGTGTTGACTTATACAACTTCGATTCGTAGAATCGATGTTGAAAATGAGCCCGTTAATTTTACTGAAAAGTCTCCGAGTAACGTTTCATTTCACGATGTCCTGAAACTTCTGCACAATGGCTTCCGTAATTTGGAGCATACCACTTGGATGCTTGGAATTTGAAAGGACCTCCGGCCGGTGAAGACCCTGCTATTG